GCTCCAGACATGGAACATCAGCCTCACTTTAGTTTTAAGATGAATAAAAGACGAAGCAACACGTGGAACAGCAACTCATCTGATGTAATACTGCCATGCAATAATAAACAGAGCAAAGTCTCTAGAACACCAACAGGGTTCATTGTGCATGCACCCCTCAGACAGACAAAGAAAACAAGCACAAAGATCTTCCCAGTAAAAATAATCACCTCCTTGTCTAAACACTCCACATCTGCTGACTGCTCGTCAAACCTTTAACAGATTATTTAAAATATACTTTAAAAGTCAGGATATTCCTTTACAAATAGAATGAGGAGCTGCACTCCATTATGCTGACAGCAAGTGAAAGAGCTTAGGAGAACACAACTAATCGAAATGCATTACAGTTAATGACAGCAGAAGCCAATGCGCAGGCCTGCTGACCATCATTCTGTCTGATAAATGTCTCCTTTCAGCTGATGGGAGAATAGGTGGTGCTGAGGGACAGAGAGGACAGTCAGGAGGACTCAGCCAGCCAGGGGGCACAGACAGCTGAATGTGGCAGACAACGCTGAGATGCGGAGCAGTGTTGCGGTTGCAGGATGTTCCTGTAAAGCACTCGCCTGTAGTAACAACAAACAGAAAACAAACCCCAGAGCCCAGATTCACCGACAGGTCATGGGGTTTAGGAAATGAACCAATCCGGGGGGACAAGAAGAGAGGTATCATCAGGAAGCATCTGGCATCCTGTGTGTGGGTGCACATAGGATGCCAGATGCTTTAGAAAGTCAAACTTTGATTTACTGTTTCTTATTAAAGGGTTTGGTGTCTGAGCCCACAGTGCTTCCGCTGAATGCCCTTTGGTCATGGGTTATGTTTGTATCTCTGCTGAGGTGACAGTGCATTGAAAGCTGAAGTGGTCCAGAGGTCACTACTGATAGATGCGTTTAATCTGAGAGACTTCACATACAGGGCATACATACAGCAGAGAAACTAGCAGTAGCTAACAGTATACAGGTGAAACAAAAATAATGAAAATATGGTGCAAAGCCCGTTTATTTCAGTAATTCAGCTTAGATTGTGAGACCATCTAAAGGCTCAGGAACCATTTGCAGGTGTTTTGGACTGATTAGCTGATTAGAGTGTGACACTTTGAGCCTAGAATATTGAACCTTTTCACAAATTTCTTATTGTCCAAGTTTTTGAATTTGATGTTTTCATAAGCTGTAAGTGTTATTTAAAAAGGGTAGGGTGTGTTCCAACTACAGAGGGACCACACTCCTGAGCCTCCCTGGTAAAATCTATTCAGGGGTCCTGTAGACGAGAGTCAGTCGGCTAGTCAAACCTCAGGAGGAGCAATGTGGTTTTTGTCCTGGCTGTGGAACACTGAACCAGCTCAATACCCTTAGGGCGAAGGTCATCGGGGACTGGTGCCGGTCTCCAGCAGTCACCAGGCAGGAGGCTGGTGACCCTGGACAGGTCACCAGTCCCTCACAGGGAATACTTGACCCTTCAAAAAATTGAGTGAACTTCTGTAGAATTAACTGAATAGGTGTTAACGCACAGCTTTTCCTCCCCCAAATGCTAGTAAAAGCATTGCAGTTTCACAAACTCTACACAGGCAATGCTAAACATCCAGTTAAGTCAATGGCTTCTCAAAATCATTATTTTTACCCCAAAATTTAAGGAAGTGTACAAAGTGTTTATTGCCAGTAACAGCATTTGTTTCTAGTCTACATTATGAATTAGAAAAATCAGTTCAATTTTTTTTTATATTAACTTTTTGGAATGTTGTTATTTTCCTCCTAAAGCTGCAATAGTGAATCTACAGAACAGGCTAGGTTCTAAAAGCAAACAAAACACTCACCCCTCCGCTATGGTATCTTCCCTGAAACGCATCTGCTGGAACCAAAAACCCGTGTTTCCAGAGGAAACGACAGAGTGCTAAACTCCAGTCGCCGTTTTATTGGTCCAAACGTCTTTTGTTGTTTGTGACTTCAAATGATGTTTTTCTTTATGGGATTCTGGTAGTTAGTCCTAAAGTTGCAGTGGTAGCAGCCGGCTGTTTCTCCTTCTCTGATACTGAGTGGAGAATCTCTCACACCTGTGGTGTTCTGTTGCAACATATGCGAGTGCATAATGAATGGAGCACCCAAGGAAGTGCAGTGATTCGTCAAAAACGGACAACCGGATGGTCCGATAATTGCTTCCGTTCCAAAACATGTTATTGGTGGATGTTTTTAGACGAACGCAAAAAATAAAAATAAAAACCCACTTTATTCATTTTTTTGTTTTATTTTAATTTCTACGATATATTTACAGGTGCTGGCCAGTAAATTAGAATATCATCAAAAGGTTGAAAATATTTCAGTAATTCCATTCAAAACGTGAAACTTGTACATTATATTCATGCAATGCACACAGACCAATGTATTTCCAATGTTCATTACATTTAAATTTGATATTTATAGGTGACAACCAATGAAAACATCAAATCTGGTATCTCAGAAAATTAGAATATTCTAAAGGCCAATGAAAAAATGTTTGTTTCTCTAATGTTGGCCAACTGAAAAGAATGAACATGAAAAGAATGTGCATGTATAGCACTCAATACTTAGTCGGGGCTCCTTTTGCCTCAATAACTGCAGTAATGCGGCGTGGCATGGACTCGATCAGTCTGTGGCACTGCTCAGGTGTTATGAGAGCCCAGGTTGCTCTGATAGTCGTCTTCAGCTCCTCTGCATTGTTGGGTCTAGCGTATTGCATCCTCCGCTTCACAATACCCCATAGATTTTCTATGGGGTTAAGGTCAGGCGAGTTTGCTGGCCAATCAAGGACAGGGATACCATGGTCCTTGAACCAGGTGCTGGTGGTTTTGGCACTGTGTGCAGGTGCCAAGTCCTGTTGAAAGGTGAAGTCTGCATCCCCATAAAGTTGGTCAGCAGCAGGAAGCATGAAGTGCTCTAAAACTTCCTGGTAGACGGCTGCATTGACCCTGGACCTCAGGAAACAGAGTGGGCCAACACCGGCAGATGACATGGCACCCCACACCATCACTGACGGTGGAAACTTTACACTGGACCTCATGCAACGTGGATTCTGTGCTTCTCCGCTCTTCCTCCAGACTCTGGGTCCTTGATTTCCAAAGGAAATGCAGAACTTGCTTTCATCAGAAAACATAACTTTGGACCACTCAGCATCAGTCCAGTCCTTTTTGTCCTTGGCCCAGGCGAGACGCTTCTTGCGCTGTTTCTTGTTCAAGAGTGGCTTGACACACGGAATGCGACACCTGAATCCCATGTCTTTCATGAGTCTCCTCGTGGTGGTTCTTGAAGCGCTGACTCCAGCTGCAGTCCACTCTTTGTGGATCTCCCCCACATTTTTGAATGGGTTTGTCGTCACAATTCTCTGCAGGGTGCGGTTATCCCTAGAGCTTGTACACTTTTTTCTACCACATTTTTTCCGTCCCTTCGCCTGTCTGTTAATGTGCTTGGACACAGAGCTCTGCGAACAGCCAGCTTCTTTAGCAATCACCTTTTGTGTCTTGCCCTCCTTGTGCAAGGTGTCAATGATTGTCTTTTGGACAGCTGTTAAGTCAGAAGTCTTCCCCATGATTGTGGTGCCTTCAAAACAAGACTGAGGGACCTTTTAAAGGCCTTTGCAGGTGTTTTGAGTAAATCAGCTGATTAGAGTGGCAGCAGGTGTCTTCTATATTCAGCCTTTTCAGAATATTCTAATTTTTTGAGATACCAAATTTGGAGTTTTCATTAGTTGTCACTTATGAATATCAAATTTAAATGTAATGAACATTGGAAATACATTGGTCTGTGTGCATTGCATGAATATAATGTACAAGTTTCACGTTTTGAATGGAATTACTGAAATATTTTCAACCTTTTGATGATATTCTAATTTACTGGCCAGCACCTGTATAGCTTTATGATGTTAAAATGATGTTAAGAGGCAAGAAAAAATGTTTTAAGCTAATTCGTTTATCAAATTTGCTAATGCAGCTTAAAGTTAACTGCGCAGTAACACTTTCCTATTCTCACAGGGGTCACGTGGTCTCAAGATAATTGAGTTCAGGCTTGTTTTGTCATCCGAAGACCAGAACGCGAGTATGAAACTGTCCTTGGTATATCAGTTTGGGATGGAACGGTCTCTTCAGGAATCAACTGCTGCACATGTTTTGCCTAATAGGCATTCTCTGTCTGTGGTGCACTTGACCCTGATAAACAGTCCAAATGAACGACAAACCTCATGACAGGGCAGGACTCTTATCTAGCACAGATTAGGGTTTGTGAAGTGATGGATGACAAAGTGATGGCCTGATGACCAGAGAATGGATGCACAATAGATGGTGATATACACCAAAGATGCTAGCATTCAAGTGTGTATCCTCACACTGATTCATGCACCTACTCACAATGATGAGATAGTGATGCAAAAAACACCTCGTGTGTTTTTTCACAAGTTGTTATAGAAAAAGATCATGTGAACGTCTGGTTCGTCTGATGCACAATTTCAACATGGGAAACAAATGTTTCATCAACACGAAAACTATTTTCGGTATGAGCAGAGACTTAACTTGGTACAAATTTTCAACTGCCCATAAATCTATTTTGCATTCCATAAATTTGCCCGCTGACGTTTTAGTAAAACTACTGTCCGTCCTTGTAAAGCTGACATTTACCAGTGTAAACATCACAAGGGCATGTGTAACCCATAAACAATTTAAGACAGGAAGCCCTTACCTTCTCAAAAAAAAAAAAACACAGAATCATCTCTGTCAGCAACAGAGCCCGTTCCGATACACAGCCTCTACTAGGGGGATGTTTTATGGAATGTTTCTACTTAATCTTCACCCAGTATGCCCTGACATCTCCCTGACTCTGTCCAGATAAAGGACATAACTAAGTGATCTGTGTCTTCTTAACTTGTCCTCTGGCATCTGATCCTATGAGAACCCTTGTAAAAGTAAATAACAGATGTGAGCACAAAAGCAGCTCAATAATACTTACTCAAATGTGAAAAACAGTCCACAGGTTACAAGAATGAGGAAAAGGGTGAGGTAGAAAACCCCCGTCTGTTTGGCCATCATAATCCTCCCATCACAGTAAAATTTATTCCGACCAGGAAAGGCCTCCCATTTCCTCTTTTTTGGTGTCCTTTTCTTGTATGGGGTCTCCATTGGTGTGGAGCTGCGAGTGCTTATTTGACTGTACTCGCACTCTCTCATAGACTCCCCCAGATGCATTAACTGTAGATACAATAATCCCAGAGTTGAGTAAATCCTGGGACAGGGAGCAGCTTCTGTGGAGGAAACAGGTTTGAGTTTAGCAGAAAGGCACAACTATTAAAGAGAAAGTGTGTGGAGAAAAGTTTGGAAGGGCACTTCCTGTTATTAAAAGCACATCAAATCACATTACAAAAATTTAAGCTTTTAGGGTGCTATCATGAAACGTAAAAGGGGTCAATTTGAAAATAAAAAGCGTTTTTTCGCTAATCTAGCGAGTTTGTTGGCAAGCAACTTGGCTAGTACGAGATAAGTAAATATATAGTGTAGCTAGCAAGCTAACGTTGCTAACAAGTTGACGTGATAAAATTAAGTTAATATCAAGTTGAACACGTCATAAAATTAAAGATTATCTCTCTCAAACAAAATTTTAATCAATTAAAAAGATGTTTTGGTGAAACTCTCCCACTCAAATGGAGCTTAAGGATGGTTTCGGTTAGCCTGCACTTGTCAGAGTGCGAGTGCGGCAGCGAGGCGTCACATCCCGGCTGCGTTCGCCTCTCTGCCCGCTGAAGCCTTACCGAAGCAAAGTAACGCCGGTTCTGGGGTGTTGTCACGTAGCCTGCTCCCGTCGTTATCCCGGTTTGTTCCGAGCCAGAGCGAAGAAGACCATTTTCGGAAGTTAACGGGCGAACAAACGAGTTAGAAAATTTCTCGTCGCCGAGGAAGAACTTGGTTTTGGGGGAGAAAGAAAAAAAAAGGGGAAGGGAGATCCAGAGAAAGCGCACACGTCGCGGAGCTCCTTCTCAGACGAGCTCCAGACTGGCAGTCAATCGGAAAAACGCGTCTCTGCGCACAAGACGAGCCGAGCGGGACCTCACAGCCATATGGCCGAACCTTTGCTACTATCGACGGGTCATTGTCACAAATCTTCACCGTTCTGCTCCGTGTTCGGAAAAAGTTATAGCTTTTTCTCGGCGAAAGGGTCCTGGCAGGCCAGCCGACAGCGCTCCGTCTCCCCCGTCCACAGTGCTGCCACCCTCGCAAACAACAAACACCAACATGGGAGCGAAGAGGAGCCTCCGCCTGCTCCTCCCCCTTCCTTCCACCGAGGCAGGAGCAGAGGAGCACGAGCTGGCTAAGGGGTCCCCAAAATGTGGCCCGGGGCCTTCGAGCGTCTAGTGGTGGGGAAAATTTTGAGCCAGCAGGGGCGCACCCAGAAGGGGCCTTTGGGGGGGGGGGGGCTTCAACACCCCAATAATAGTGTACAACAAGCTGCTGCACAACATTCACTTTTTTAGTATGTAAACTTTTTGCATTCACTTGGAAACATGTAAATAAAAAGCTCTGTTTTTCTGACACATAAACAGGTACACATTTTCCATGTGTCTGTATAAAATCAACTAGCCTCTTTCAGTGTGCCCCAGGGCAGCTGTGGCTGCATTTTAGCTCATCTCCACCAGCGTGTGAATGGGTGGATGACTTATTGTGTTGTAAAGCCCCTTTGGGAGTTGTAGATCCTTAAGAAGGCATTATACAAATACAGGCCATTTACCATTTAACCAATAATAATTGTATCTAGTTTGGAAATGAGAGTATTTTCTAGTATCTGAATCCCAAAATGAAGTAAAAGTGAATTAAACTCAACAAACGGGACACGTTTTAGTTCCTCTTCTGTAGCCAGTTATTAATGTCTGTCTGTCTGTCTATCTATCTATCAAAATGTGTAAAAATCCCTTTCATTTATTTCCAAGTGAATGTGATACACTTCTGTATTTTAGTCCATAAATGAGAAAACAAAAATGCCATTTGTTTGTTCATTTATTTATTTTTGTAAATTTATGTTAACATTAGATGCTCAACAGTAAGAAAATAGAACAAAAACTCAGAACAGAACAGAAAAACCTATGGCCCTAAGACTGATGCATGTGTTGAGACACTCGAGATATTGGAAGTGGGATTGTTTGTTTTACTGACCTGTTTAAAGCTTAAAGTCATTGTTCACATCTTTCTTTTACTGTAATTTAGAAAATGTACAATATAAATAACATCAAACAGGAAGAATGTGACATAAAATTATAAATTTCACATTCTTTTGTGGCAAAAAAGTATCTGTTGATATTGGTCAGTAATATTTTAGGTCATTATTGTACATTTTACATTTATAAAGAAGCATAATCATTTGCACATAAATGCAGAAAAAATACATAATTTTAGCATTATATTCTATGCCACCTCAATACAACACGTTTCTTTATTTTTGATCAAATAAACAGAGATTATTGCCCATCTGTCGTTATGGGGCAGTCACATTACCTACTTTTCTTGTGTCCTGAAGTCAAGTGTGTCCGAAGTGCAGCCTGGGGAGCATTTGCGGCCCTCGGACGGATTTTGCGTGGCTTGTGCTAGCAGTTTTAGAATTGTGGAATTAAGTCTCGCCTGGAAGCTGTTGATATAAATTCATATATTTTATGTATATTTCATATGTTTGTCATTTCTTCCAGGGTAGCCACACTCCTGAACAAACACTCCCCATCACGCGCTCTGCGCTCCTCTGACCAAGGCCTGCTCGCTGTCCCTCGTTCTAGGTGTTGTACTCGCGGGGACCGGGCTTTCTCAGTCCTAGCACCGTCACTATGGAACCAGTTGCCACCCTCAGTTAGGCTGTCTCCATCTCTGCCAGTCTTTAAGAGTCACCCAAAAACACACCTCCTCCGCTTGGCGTTTCCTGAACATGTTTGATTCGGCCCTCTTTTATGTTGAATTTATTTCACAGTTTTCATTGGGTCACTCAATCCATTGCTTTACACATTTGTCCTGTACCAGAATGTTTAACCTATTTTGTAATTTGAATTGCTTTTATTTTTTATTTATTCAATATATTTACCTTCAACTGAACCATGTTCAGCGCTTTGGGCTTCCTGACAGGGTTGCGGAAGGCGCTTTATAAATAAAGCTTTGGTTGATTGATATTTCAATATTTTATGTTTAAGTATTTCCTAACATATCTATTTTAGGCCTTTTTTGAGCAGAACACATGAATATAAAATAATGTTTGCATACTTTAAAAAAAATATTTTTGTGGCCTGTGAGGAGTTACAACTTCATGATTTTGGCCGTTCATCTTGAAAAGTTTGGACATCCCTGCCTGAAGTGAAGCCACCTCTCCAAAGCTAAAGACTTCATCAATTTTAATGACCAGCTGGGGGGTGACTCATCTTGTTTCACTCAGACTTTAAAAGTCTTAAGACACTGACCTCTGGTTCACTTTAAGTTTATCCTTTCAGCTAACTTCTCCCTACTGACATGATGTTCTTTAGTCTGGAACCTTATACAGGACGATTAACGTTTTATTCTTTAAACTAGATCGTAAATTAGTGTTTGGGCATAAATGAGATGCTGCCTTATGGTAGTAATGATTATGCACTTGGCCAACTGGTACTGCAACAACAAATGAACCTGCAGCTGTAGAAAGAAACCCCCTCATCTATTATTAATGCAGACAATTTTTAAAGTTGTGGGCAGATTATTTTAGAGGGCTGCTGCATGAATGCATGACAGGGGAATAAAAGAGTTTAAAACACATTCATAATTAAAATTTCTAAGGATTTGTTTAACCAGAAAGCATCTAATTCATCTAAAGAATTCTGCCCTGTGCCTTCAGGGGGAAAAGGTTAAAACCGACGTGCAGCGTCCATCACCTGCCACCAACGAAGCAATTTCTGTTCAGCTTGATTAATGTTCATGATTGCATCATCAGCCCACATTTTCCTCTGTCTTCTGTGCTCTTTTTAACACCTACATTTGCACAGACACACATGCACACCTCCTCGTTTTGGTCTGAAGGCTTCGAGGCTGCTTGGATATTTCACTCCCCCACAGCTGTGCGATTGCCCACTTTCTCTCAAAAGAACTCTGCTTTCTCATTATGTAATTCAAGAAGCCTTGATTGTTCTGAACCAAACATCATGCAGTCATGGAAAACATTCTCTTTCTTTTCCTTGGTTTTCTGCTTTTGTGTTTGAAAGTGTGATTGATGCAACTCTGTTAACAGACTGACAATAAAAGCAATTAGACTCAACACTGATAAAACAGAAATGGTCATCACCGCTGAAAGACGCCTGTGTGCCACGCGTTTGCAAGGAGAATCCGATGAGGTGGCACTACTGAGCATGTTAAAAATAAAGAGTTTTAACACTTTAAGCTACTGCTTTCAAACTGGTTTTAGTGGTTCTTCAGCACTTGTCATTAACTTGAGCAACTTCAAGTTTGACAATTCAATTCAATTCAAGTTTATTTATGTAGCACCAAATCAGGACAAGAGTCGTCTGAAGGCGTTTGAGACAATAAACATTCCACTACGGGTCAGTTCATTAAGCCAATCAGTAAAAAGTTTCCTATATAAGGAACCCAGCAAATCGCATCGAGTCACTGACTTGTATCAGTGCATTTACAGCAATCCTCGTAAGCATGCATTCAGCGACAGTGGAGAGGAGAGCACTCTGCTGCCCTCTGCTGACAGAAACCGCAATTAAACGTTTTGTGGTTCGGGTACGAACATTAATGAGGGCTGTTTAGTGGGCTGGTAGCTAATATAAAGGCTAGTAGTTAGTTTTTTTAGCTTGCCGACCATCAATGAAAAGGACAGGAAGAATAATTTAGCTATTTTTGTTGGCCTCATGGCGGAGTCTGGAAGTAAACCGGAGTGAAATTCGGCATGGCCTACACTCATTTGGGGGAGCTTAACGAGGCTACATAATCACAGACTGATGATGACCTGGCTTTGTTGCTGCTGGACTTGTAAGTGATGATATTTTGTCTAGCCATGTGGATCTTTTTATCTTGTGGCTTATTAAGTATCAGATAGCTAATGTTAGCGTTAATTCATTGTTAAGCTACAGCAGGCTGCTGCAGGGTTGTTTACGAAAGTTGCAATTCTGCTTTCAACCAGCAGAGGGAAGAAGTAGAAAACTTATTTAGTGTTGCTTTAAAGGTATGGAACCACTTTTTAATGATTATTTCTGATTTTAATCTGTCACTGTGAGTTTTTCATGAAGGCTGAACATGAAAACAGTCTCCTACACCTATCTCCTGCATTAGCTTCTGATAGAAAATAGACGGTGAAACTCGGTTGACTCACGACAGGGAAGGCTGTTTAATGTTCAGAGTCAGTAGAGATTGCCTCGACTAGTAGAAGCTAACCATTAGCATTAGCAGCGCCACAGAGAAACCCCTATAGGCTTGTTATTTGTGGAGATAAAACATTCGCGTTGCAAGTCAGTGGTAGAGTCACGTTGCTGTTACCCAATCCAAGGCGAGATGACCAAATTTCAGGAAATAAGACTCCAAATCCTGCCGTGTTGGGCCACTCTGCTGCAGCAGACTTGTTGATTGTTTTTGGGCTTATTTTGCTCTGAGTATGGCTTGCAAAGCATTTAGCAGAGACCACTGCAAATGTATCGATTCAACGAGTTTCCCACACCTTTAATACTTGGTAACACAGAATCTGCTTGCTTTTCATAGTTACTGTATGATCTATTGACCTTCCAGTCTAAATCTCTCTGAGTGGGGGTTGCTAGGCCTGAAAGATGTTTATTTATTTATGTTTATTTATTTATTAGACACTTTTATCCAAAGCGACTTACAATTTATAACCTATAGGGCATGTTGTGATCTGCGGGGGAAACCGGAGTACCCGGAGGAAACCCACGCATGCACGGGGAGAACACGCAACTCCACGCAGAAAGACCGCAGCCGAGTTTCGAACCTGCAACCTTCATGCTGCGAGGCAACAGTGCTAACCACTGTGCCACCATGCAGCCCAGATCATGACATCGTTTGAATAAACTAACAAGTTATTATTGAATGAGGCATGAATCTGTGAACACACACTCCAAAGGTCACTTTTGTTTACACAAAGTTCTAATTCATCCATCTACATTTGTGGTGAGAAGCAGCCCAGCAGGGTAGTCAATGCCGACGACGGACCCGTCTTCCTCACAGCCAACACATCTGTCATGCCAGAGCTTGATGACTCAGCTTCTCAGAGACACATTATAGGTGGTTTTCTCCTGTGGTTGGCTTTGTGAAACTCCACCACCATGTCAAAAAGTACAGGAAATATAAAGTTTTTAACTCTGTTTATGCTGTCCACACATAATAACCACGCAGCAATTGTGCAACCATCTCAAAGTGCCAGCCATCTCCTGTTTCTGTTTTGGTTAAAAATAAAATCCAACTGTTATCTGGAGAACCAGGACTGGATACCACTAAGGAAGAGTATTGCTTGTGTTCAGATCCAGGAATGTTAGTAGAAACAGCCTAAAATAGGTCTTCATGTGATGCCAAACAGAGGGGGAAAGACAGAATAAACAAAGCTGCTCTGGAAAGAAAGAAAGCCCTGATGTATTTCAGTGGAATATAAAAAAGAATTAGGTTTTAAAGACCAATTATCCTACATTTGCACTGAAGATAAATAAAACCAGGTAGGTGAATGTAGGACTCTGTCATGAAAGTATACCACACATTTACTGTAGTAACATGAAATCCCGTTATTAATACACTCACCTAAAGGATTATTAGGAACACCATACTAATGCGGT